AGGGTGAAAGAGAGAAGAGAGTGAATATGAGAGAAAGAGTGAGAGCTGAAACGAGACAGAAGGGGACACAGAGGAAGTCCCTCAAACGGGACATAAACAGAGGCGGCGAGGCCCAAACAAAAGACACGGGCGGAGGCCCCAAGGCAGAGATGAGTCACCCCCAGAAAGAGGGGTGGACGCAGTCATGGCAGGAGCCCCCGCTCCCTGCTACATGCCCCCAAACCTCCCCGCGAGGGTCTTGCTAGACTTGGCATCTTTTCAAAAGGACCGGCCTCTTCCTATGCCCTCTGTCCCCAGAAGGCAGCCCAGGGCCCAGAAACTCCACCTGCAGTGTACCCCCTACTGCCCCCAAAGAAGCTTCCAGCCCCCACAGTCCACACCAGCGCTGGATTGGCCAGCTTCCTGAGCTAGTGAAAGGGATTCGCACTCGGCTGACCTCGGTGTGTGCGGGGCCTTTCAAACCGGGGGGATGAGGGGAGGGGGAGGTCGAGGGGACCTGAATGGGGGCCCTGGAGACAGCGGAAGGAGGCCCCACCAGAGATCAAAGGCCCAGGAAGGAACAGAGGGTCTGGGGCTGCCCTTTCAGCCATGCCGCTACTCACAGCTCTGCCCGCTCTGCCAAGTCCAGCCCCACCACCACCTCCTCAGGGCCTTCCGGGAAGGGAGGCACTGCCCCGGGCTCTGTCCCCCTCGCCCAGCGGGATTCCTCAGGTCCAGGCCACAGCTTTCCCCACAGACGCCCTCAGGACAGCCCAACCCAGAGATGAAGCTGCCCCTCCGTCTGGGCAGCACCCCAGCCTGACTCTCGGCCACTCACAAGCCTCCTGAGCCCCGTGCGTGCGGGGCCCTGTGCCAGGAGGCCAGGCTGGGGCCAGAAACAGGTGATGCAGCCCCGCCCAGCCAAGCCCACATGATGGCGGATGCAGAGCCAGGCAGCGGGAGGGAAAACAAGGAGGCAGAACCAATCTGGAATGCCAGGCAGTCACAGAAGCACTTGCCACCCAGATTGTAACAGGCCTCAAAAGTCACGGAGTCCCAACCAGAATGCCTGCTTTGGCTCTTCTGCCCCCAACCCTGTTCATGCCTCCGATGATGGGGAGCTCGCTACCTTTCCAAGCTGAGGCTTCTGACCTCGGTCCAGCCTGGCTCTTGTCTGAAAGCCGTTCCTTGCACCGAGCCATGATCCGCCTGCCTCCAGCTTCCTTTAGCCAACCCCAGCTCCGCCCTCAGAGGCCCCAGCTGCAGAACCGTTCATCTGAGATTTGGACACAGTGGCCACGTCCCCGAGGCTGCTCTTGGAGGCAAATGCCCCAGGAAGAGTCCTAAAATTTCTAGGCTAAAAGGGCCCTTGGCAATCCCCTGGTCTAATAGTATTCCAGCTTATCTGTTTTTGCTAAAGAATGTTTTGCTCAAATTGAGCTTTCCATGGAAGACAAAAATAACCAACAGAAACATTCCTGGTTGAGGAGACTAGAGACTCCCCCCCTCCACCACCACCACCATCCTCACTAACTGTAAACTCTCTACAGGCACGTGACCAATCCATCCCACCGAGCGCTGTTTACTGAGCACCTACTACGTGCCAAGCAGGGTGTCCCTGGTGGCTCGGTGGTGCAGAAACCGCCTGCCAATGCAGGAGACGTGGGTTCAGTCCCTGGGTCGGGAAGATCCCCTGGAGAAGGAAATGGCAACCCACTCCAGTATTCTTGCCTGGGAAATCCCATGGACAGAGGAGCCTGGCGGGCCACAGTCTGTGGGATCGCAGAGTTGGACATGACTTTGTTGCCACTAAACAACAATGCGCCAAGCACTTGTATTCAAGCCACGTCATTCAGTACAGAAGCCACTGAAATGTGGCTAAGTGCAACTGAGCAAATAAATTTTCATTTTATTTGATTTTAATTCATTTAAGTTTGAAAACAGCCATGCAAAACATTTTTCCCTTCATATAGTGCCACTTCCTACGAGAACCCTTCCCAGATCCTCTGGGTCGATGTCAGCCCTTCCCTGCCCTGCCCTTCTGCTCTGGGGGCATCCTCCCATCACAGCGTCCCCCCACACACTGCCTGTCACAGGGACTTTAGGTTGCCACTATTGCCCACCAGCCTGCCAGGTCTAGAGGCCAGGTCCTCTGTAATGGAACTCTCCCATCACCCACCCCCACCTTGAACCCTGGGCAGGAGCGCGGAGCCAGGAAATGCCCACGGGGTAAAATCCACGTCCAATGGGAGGAGACTGAACCAGAGTTGAGCAAGCCACTCCGCTGTGGACAGCCTCAGTCACCCATCTGAAAAACGGGATGCGGACCCTCAGCTGTCTTTCTTTCGGCCCTTTATTGCCTCTCTTGCCCCATGGCCCTTCACTCAGCCTGCTGAGAGCTCCTGAGGAAAATGGTGTGATGGCCCGCAGCCTCGATGGGCCAGAACCCAGTTCACCAGCATTTCCCCAGTGACTGATTTCTTACTTTCTCACCACACTCTTGGCAGCATCCAACCTGCTGACCATGCCCTTTTGCTTGAAACCCTCCTCACACCATCCCCAGGCTTGGTCCAGCCCAGGGAGCTGGGGAGCTGAAGCCTCAGGGGCTCTCTCCACTCCTCAGCCCACCCAACCCCCTGGCCATGCCAGCTCTGTGGCTTTGCCAACATCATGGAACTCCATGGGGTCTTGGTTTCGTCCCCTGTGAAAAAGGAGTGGCAATCTCCACCTCTTCCACTCCTCCTAAATCCAATGCAAGGATTCAGAGAGCTATAGGGGGAGGATGGACAGGACAGCAGGAGCACCTAACTATACTCCTCCCAGGCAGTTTGCTGATACGAGCAAGGGCGCTTCCAGCCACCTCTCTGCCCAACCGCAACCACCCTCAGTGACGCAGGGCAGGGAGGGGGTAGAGGCTCTGCCTGTGGCTTGGCCTCCCGATCTTTCCAATCCTGTATGCTTTCAGGGCCATCAACTCATTCTCCCTTAGCCCCAGACCACAGACGGGGTCACCTCCTAAGTTTTTCTTGGGATCATGGCTCAATCATAAATTCCCAAACTGAGGATCTGAAAGATCATCAAACCCTGCATCTGATTCTTGATACTCTTACACAGCAGCCCAGCACAAGGCCACCGAGGCTCTGCTAACACACCTCTGGTGATGGGCACTCACTACTTCCTGAGGCAGCCCTTTTTTGCCCTAGACCACTCTCATATTTGCAGACTTGTACTCTGAGCTGAAATCTCTTCTGCATCTGTCTCACACTGGCCTTTGAGGCTAAGCAGCAGAGTCTCATTCCTTTTGCCTTCCATGTCAACCCTCCAAATATTTGAAAGCAACAATCCAGCCTTGCTCATTCTCCTCCTCTTGGTACCAAAACATCCTTAGAGCCCTAAGGTGTTCCTCCAAATACCTCTTCATCAGGTTATCCCCATCTAGACACACCCCAATGTGTCACTGTCCCTCTTCAAGGTCAATCTTTTGGGTCACAGTCTTCAGGAAGGATCTGCCCAGCACAGAGCAGTGGAGACGAACAACACCCACATCTCGACCACTCTACACCTTCTCAAGCAGCTTGGGAGGCTCAGGTGACCGACCACTCACCAGAGACTGAAAGCCTTTAGCGCGCTCAACAAACACAGTGACACAATCTCCCCAACTCAGGACCTGTGTGTTTGATGGTACACATCAAACTCAATTTTTCTTTTTTTCTCTTCGAAACTCTGCCTCTATCCCTCAGCCTCTGAGGGAGCCTCAAATACCTGCCCCTCCACATGATCAAACACAGCAGCCCCCAGCTTGGGCACAACTGCAGTGAGTCCAGGTGACAATGAAGAGATGATACCACCAAGCCCATAAACCAACAGAGACGGTAGGCCCGCTGCCTCCTGCAGGAGCATGGCCCAGCAAGCCACCAAGGAAAAGACTGCTGACATCTGCTGACATCAGAAGCAGGGGAAGAGGTGAGGCAGGTTCCAAAGGCCGTGGATCATCTCCCATAGCTCGACGCAGAAGCCGTGGGCCCAGCGCCTGCCTGGCCTGGAACACACGGACCACAGGCCGATCCACCGCTGGGCCGACTCAGCTTTCTAGTTACGGATCGTAAGTACTTAGGCACGTGCGCATACAGAACATACATCCCTTACAGGGAGTTGAGGAGGGGAACTGTGCCAAAGAACTGAATAATTGAATCAAGATTTCTGTCATGCTGCTCTCAGGCCCTAGACCCTGGCCTTTTTTTTTTTTTCCCCTTTCCTTTCCTGACCAAGGTTCTGCAGATTCCCAGGGGGTCATTTCTCCTCTCAGACCCGGGAATGTCAGCCAAGCTGGCAGCCCATCCAGGGAAAGATCAGGGTTAAGGTGGGCCAGTGTCCGGGACAGAGGCAGGCAGTTCTGGAGGCCAGGGCAGCACACTGAGGGTTGAGAAAAACGAACAGGGAAGATTGACATCTATTTAATCCCTGGGAGGCCCGGGCACTCCCTTCCAGGCCCTAAGGGCAGAGATGACACTATTCACTTCCGCAGCCACCCCCTCCCAGCACTACGCTGAAGGCCAGGGAGGGACCCCACCCGCTATGCCTACTACGGGAGGGGTGCCCATCTCTCTATGCCCAGACCCTTCCTCTCCCCAGGGGTCCCCCCAAAAGGGGCCGTTGCTGCAGTGCTCACACCCCCACACCCTGCCTTTGGGCATCACATCTGCCAAGGCACCGGCTTCTTAGAGGCAGCAAAGCCTGGGAGTTCTGCCAGGCCTGCCTTTCCCTCCAAAGGGTGAAGATGGGAGGAGGCAGGGAGAAGTCCAGTCCCAGCCGGGCCAGGAGGCTTAGCCCCTTCCCTCTCCCAGGAGGCTTAGCCCCTTCCCCCGAGGGTCAGGTGGGGCTGGGCCCGGCGCCTCCAGAGCTCTGCAGATAAGGGGAGCGCAGAGCGGTCGTCTGTGCTCCCGCCCCTGACCCAGGGCCTGGAGACAGATCCCTCAGAGCCGGTGGGCCCAACCCCGACGGCGCGCGGCGGCGTCTCTTACCTTCGTCTCTCTTGCGCTTGTTGGTGTCGGCGCTGGGGGATGTGATGCCCAGAATGCCGCTGATGGAATAGGAGGAGCCCGCCGAGTCCGTGCTCACCGAGGACACCTGCGTCACGGAGCCCGTGGACACTGCGCGGAGGGAGAGGGCGGTCAGGGCCCGGCAGGGGGCTGGGGGGCGGCTCCGCGGAGGAAGGCTGGGCCCCAGCCATCGGGCCAAAACCGAGGCGCTCCCCCAACGCCGGCTCGGTGGGCCGCGCGGAGAGGGCGGGGGCGTGCTAAGGACGCCTCCCCCAGAACTGCAGCCACACCTGAAAGATAAGAGCGCCCCCCTCCCAGGAGAACTGACCGCGGTGAAAGGAGCTCAAACCCAACCTATCCAAGGATGCAGGAAGCAGGGGGATGGAGCAGAGAGGCTGGGGAGCTGGAACCCACAGCCAGCCAGGGCTAAAAGCAACCTACCATTTAGGCAGGCTCGCTGCCTATTTACACATCCACCCATCCACGCAGACATAAATATCTGCACACTCACACACACAGCTAGCAAAGCACCTCATGAAGACTGTCTCTTTTTTTAATAGCTCCTCACTGTCTTTTCTCCTTCCAGTTTACCTGGATTTTAATATTAAAAGTGAAAGTGAAATTGCTCAGTCGTGTCCAAATCTTTGCGACCCCATGGACTGTAGCCTACCAAAATCCTCCGTCCATGGGGTTTTCCAGGCAAGACTACTGGAGTGGGTTGCCATTTCCTTCTCCAGGGGATCTTCCCGACCCAGGGATCAAATCTGGGTCTCCCGCGTTGTAGGCAGACACTTTACTGTCTGGGCCACCAGGGAAGTCTTATATATATATTATATGTATATAATGTGTGTATATATATATATATATATATATGAATATACTCTATGTTATATACATTGATATATAATGTTAATCTTTTCTGAGAACTTACTCTGTGCTAGGCATTCTTGCATTATCATATTTAATTCTCAGAACAAACTTATAACTTAGGTCACTGGAAAGTTACGGGAACCAAGGCTCAGAGAAGGTAAGTGACTTGCCCAAGGTCACACAGCTAATGAGACAGTGCAGTAACTGGAACCCAAGAACTAAAGTCTTAAGCCCTGTAGTAATCTGCTCCTCACTAAGGAATTGTGAAAAAACAATAATATGTTTCACATGAATAATGTACTTTTCATTTGATGCTTGCAGCAACTGAATGCCATTATTCATTCTCATTTATCAAGTGAGGAACCCGAGCCTCCATATGGCAGAGTGACTGGCTCAAAGTCATCCCACGGATAAGCAGCAGCACCAGGGCTCAGCCTTGGGTCGTCTGGCTCGAAGTCTAGATTTCTTCTGCCCCAAAATGTGGGTTGATGACTTACTATGACTGAGGTATTAATATCTAAGTCCCTAAGAATAAGAATGTGGGAGGGGAGGTTTCAGCAAGTTTCACACTAACTCCTGGCCCCAGAATCTAAGAGGGAGACCCTTCGGTCATCAGGGTCCTCTCAAGCCGTACAGCTGAATTTCCATTTCTGGGCTGTGGGAATTTTTTCTCGGTTCATTAAAACCTGTAGACCAATCTCAGGCACATTTCCTTTGGCTATAACTAGCTGGAGGCAGGTGGAGCTGCTTTTGACTCTAAAGTGTAAGAAAGTATTGGAGATGGTGGTGATCCGTTGAGGAGCTGTTTGTTGCTTTCCTTGGAGCACATTCAGCTTTTGCCCCTCCAGACCTAAGGGGAACAGAGCTTTCTTCTCATAGTTGAGTTTGATTTTAGATCTTCCTTAGGAGACACAGAAGTAGAAATCGTTAACTTCTCTTTTCCTTCACCAGAAGAAGTGCCTCAAAATAGATTTATGCAAATCTCACAACCTTTTTTGTGTTAAGGTGCAAAGAACAGAGGAAGAAAGAAGATCACAAGTCATTTGATACTTTAAACAACAACAACCACATGTAACCAAGGTTCACCACGCTGCTGACAGAGCTGATGACATTTGTTCCAATATTTTCTGATCACACTTAGCTCAAAAGACCCAGGTTCCAATTCTGGCTCCTCCACTTACTGGCCATGTGACCGAGGGCTAGTTATTTCATCTCTCTAAAGCTTCCATTTCTTCACTCTTCGATAAGTTTATCAACTATTAGGGGCGGCACACACAGAAGATATGGTTTTTATACAAATTTCTGAGATAAGGCATTCTGCTGTCAAGTGGAATTATTCCTCTAACCCGAGTGAAAGAATATTATCAGTTACCCTTAGTAGTCATTGCTATAGGACCTGCAAATGAAACCCCAGACACAGACATCTCCCCAGAAACTTTCCTCACTCCTCTTCACTCCAGCTCAGCACGGCTGGTCCGTCCCTCTCTTCTGTTCCCAGCACTCTGTGCTTTCTTCTGGAGCCTGATCTCAGCGTTTGCAAACTTCTCTTTGTAATTGTCATTGTTTTTGTTGTTCAATCGCTAAGTCATGTCTAACCCTTTGTGATCCCATGGACTGTAGCCCATCAGGCTCCTGTATCCATGGGATCTCCCAGGCAAGAATACTGGAGCGTCGCCTTTTCCTTCTCTGGGGGTCTTCTCAACCTAGGGATCAAACCCGCATCTCCTGCATTGGCAGGCGGATTCTACCACGGAGCCACCAGGCAAGTCTGAAAACATCTGTGGAAACCTGGCCTCTTTGTGATAGTCCCCATTAGACCAAGAAGCCCTTGAGAACAGGGGATTTTGTCCCATTCCCTTAATAATGTTAGTCTCCACAACAGGTTGCATAGCAGGGGCTTAGCCAATGCTTTTTGGAGGGATTACTAAATGAAGAATGATTTTATGTAAAGGAGGAATTCTGTCTTACTTTGATGCCAAGAGGCAACCATAAACAATCAGAGATCTTCACGCTTTCTCCCAGCTAACCAGAGGTGTTTCCCTTATCCCAGGTGGAGAAATAATACACCTTGAGTAGAAACACGTCACTTTCATCTCAGGACCTTTGCAGGGAAGGGAAGGCAAGGGAAACTTCTGAATTCCTGAGTAGTAGGAAATATAACTCCCCTCCTTGGTCACTGTCAGACTTTACCCATGAGTGTCAGAAACCCCGGTGGCAGCCCTTGATAGTTCACGGAGCAACGAGATCGAAGCAAGAGAGAGAGAGAGAAAGTTTAGGAAGTTTTGCCACATCTTCACTCAAGACTGCAAGTGCACAAAGAATTGTAGAAGGGCTGGTTGGTAGAAGAAAAAAACACATTCAAAACTACTTACTGACTAATGATGCAGAAAATGTTATGAATAAGTATCCCTTTCTTGATTTATTACTTTAATTATCTGACATTCTATAGACCCCCATTAGTGGATTTTTTTTTTTTTGGCTTAGATTTCAATTTTCTGTCTCATGGTGAAAGCTATTTATCATAATAATCAGTAAAATTCAAAACCTTTTAGCAGTATTTATAAAATTCATTTACCAGGTTCAGCCCTTGGAGAATGACAAAGAAGGCGCATTAGTACGTGTGCCGAAGTGTTTTATGCAGAATTATCTGTCCATAAGAATGATTAAAAGTTCTTTTGAGTACTTGGAGCCCATTAGATTTTTAAATTTTTTTTTTAAAAGTTCTTCTTACCTATGCTGTGACTGGAAGCTGGGACCGGCTGGTTGGGTGGCTGCTGTACCTTTGTCCGGATGATCCTGTGAACAATTGAGAAAAAAAAAAATCACTATTTACCATCACAGAGGAGAAGAGATCTAAAGTGGCAATGCCAGAAACCCATACCAAGTTGGGTCGTGGAAGTGGGAACAGATTATAAATCCAGGTCTGGAACTGGGGGTTTGGAAAAATTATAGGTTAGTTCTAGCTCAGCCCCTACCTCCCTGGGTGTCTTTGGGTAACTGGCACCCCTCCTGGGGCCTCAACTGCCTCTTCTGTAGGAAGAGATTGATGTGTTGATATTACAAATAGTCATCCTATTCTTGGAGCAGCTTCAGCTCCATCAGGAACTCACTGAGCAAGTCAGAAAGTTACTTCCCTTCCCTGGACCTCAACCTCCCATCTGTGGAATAAAGCCACTGCACCCGGTGACCCCCCTGTCCCCTGGCAGCTCTCACACTCTGGTTTCTCTGCCTTAGAAAGCCACAGGAAGAACAATATCCCTGCCAGGTGGCACAGGGGTTAAGGATCCGTCTGCTGATGCAGGAGACACAGGAGACGCAGGTTCGATCCCTGGGTTGGGAAGATACTCTAGAGGAGGAAATGGCAACCCGCTCCACTATTCTTGCCTGGAAAATTCCATGGACAGAGGAAGCTGGCAGGCTCCAGTCCAGGGGGTCACAGAAGAGCCAGATATGACTGAGCTACTGACCACACATGCACACCATCAGAAATTATCAAGGGGGAGAAGCGAGCAGTGTGAATGTTGCTACAAAACTGAAAGGGTCAAAGTGCGGCCACTTTAACTTTGGCCTGGCTTGGCTAAGAGGAAGCCTGAGTTACACAGAACAGCGGAAAGGCTCTACAGAGCTGGAGCCAGGGCTGTCCTGCATGGTCTTCCCGGAGACCTTGCTCTAGTTCTAAGGTGAACTTGACTGTGACCCTGGGCAAGTCCACTCCACTGTGGGGGCCTCCATACAATGAGGGAATTGGAATAGACCGCTCTTGGCTTACTTTAATCCATCCTTTTTAGATAAAAAAAATCTTATCATAAAGCCCAGTGTATAAAATGGTCAATAGCAGTGGCACCTTCCCTTCGCTAGCTCGGCAGCTCTGATGCCCTTCAGCAAAACCTCAGGCTCTTGGTAAATTTCCAGCTGGGACAAAACGTGAGGCCTTCATGAGGCCCCTGAGCCCAATGCATTGTAGAGCAGCTGAACAAAGTGAAGTGAAAGTGAGTTAGTCACGCAGTCATGTCTGACCCTTGGCAATCCCATGGGCTGTAGCCCACCAGGCTCCTCTGTTCAATGCAGGAGACACAGGAGAAGCAGCTTCGATCCCTGGGTTGGAAAGATACCCTGGAGGAGGAAATGGCAACCTACTCCACTATTCTTGCCAGGAAAACTCCATGGACAGAGGAAGCTGGCAGGCCACAGTCCATGGGGTTGCAAAGGAGTCAGGGATTGATGTGCCTGGGATTCTCCAGACAAGAATACTAGAGTGGGTTCTTCAGGGGATCTTCCTGACTCAGGGATCGAACCCCCGTCTCCTGCATTGTAGGCAGATTCTTTACCCACTGAGCCACAAGGGAGTGGTTGACCAGGGCCAGGCCAAAAGTCACCTGGGGTCTGGAAGAAGATTCCTTCCTTGGCACTTAGGAGAAGGGTGGATGGTAATAATATGTGTAGCTTCTTTGGAAAAGTTCTATCCCAGCCTCCAACTGTGACCTTTTAAAGAACATTTATTAGAGCGCTTCCTAATTATAAAAGTCCTTTGTGCTCATGGTAGACTATTTGGACAAGTATAAGGATGACATCTAAAACCGCATTTTGATGTATTTCCTTTATGCTCGCATTCCTATGTGCATTAGGAAATATCCATTTTTTTCTTAATAAAATCAGGATTAAACCACGTGTACAATTCTAAGTCCTGCTCTGTTCACTCAGCTTTATATAAGAAACTTCCTCACATTCCAGAACATTCTTTCTGGAAGTTCGTTTCAGGCTGCACTGGTCTCCAGCTTGTGCACCAGGACAGAGAGAAGAGGAATGGCAGATGCCTCCTCCAAAATTCATCAGGCCTTGGGCCCTACTCTCTGTGCTCTCACAGCTCAACGCTGGGCATGGAGGGCACTCCGCATCCCCGGCTGACAGCCTGGAATGGACGTTTCTGTTCACAGCACAGCCGGGCCACGGGGTCTCTGAAGCCCAGGCCGCCTGAGCTCCGCAGAGGGCCTTTTGCTGTGTTCTGTTGAGTCAGCAATGTTTTGCCTCAAATATCCTCACAGTGTTTGCTTATTTGTTTTCTCCAATATTCAAACCACTTATTTTGACTAAGCAAACAGGGAATGTGTTAACAAAGGCCCAGGAGTGAGCCAGTTTTTCAGACGACAGGAATTAAGCTAGCATCTGACCTAATCTGGGCATGTCTGTGTATGTCACCTTCTCTGTGTATACACGTGTGTGTGTCTACATATATATCGCTAGACGTGTGAACATATATGGAGATGCAAGATTTAACTATATTTATCTATATTTTGATTTATAAACATATGGTAAAATATATTGTAACTATTTCCCATTGAAGTCCAGCATAAAGTCCTAATTTTCAAAGCATTGTCTTCCATTAAATTCGTACATAGGCAAAGAAAATTATATTTTCCTTATTTTTCTTTAAAAATATTTATAAATTGTCGGTAAAACATAATCCATTGTTATAAATCATTGAGCGGCAGCTGCAGTGGGGTAAGCAGGCCCCAGAAACAGACTTTTAGAGTTTGAACACCAGTTTTACAATCTGCCAGCTGCATGACCTTGGGCAAGTTACTTAACCTCTCTACCTCAATTTTTTCATCTGCAAAATGAGACTAAGAATCATTCTTGCCTCATAGGGTTATTACGAGCATTAGTTAAGTACTTAGACCAGTGGTTCCTGCATAGTAAATTCTCGATAAATGTTAGCTGTTGTTATTTTCATTGGTATCTTCATAAAGATTAATGACTAGCTTCAACCTTAAAAGGTTCATATTTTCTACAAATGCCTTAAAAACACATGGGATCCCCTTGGGAGCTGGGGAGGGGAGGTAGTCATCCCCACACCCTATTTTAAGGCTGTGGCAGGGCTGTCCTTTACAGGGGGACCTGAACTGTAGGGAACCCTTCAAAGGTATCTCCAGAGACAGAGATTCTGCCCATCTGCCTGCAGCAGCTGCCAGGAAGAGAACAAAGAGCATCATCTTCCACGGAGAAGAAATGGGAGTTGGAAAACAAGACTGTAATTGAATTAGAGTGATTCTTAAAAAACAAAAAATTAACATCAGGACTCATCACCGTAAGAGTCACGCTCTGGACTTTTCTAAACCAGAGACAATTGAGGCTAATTGACAGTCAGCACTAACAGGTACAGCCCTTTACCTTACTTTGCCTGACCTTGAATGCCATAGGATCATTCTAGATGGTCCAGTGCGGGAGGAAGCTCAACAGTCAACGAATTCCTACAAATAAGAAAACTAAAGCCCAGAGTGCTCAAATGACCTGCCCAAGGTCACACAACAAGTCAGATCCCATGCCTGGGCACTTTTCTTTGAACCACATTCAAAGGAGGTGGGACATTAGCAGAGGCACTAAGTACTTCCTATGTAACACATAAAGCCTTTCTGGATTCAAAATCCATCCAGAATCCAAAAATTCCAAGTCTGAGCAACTTTAGATATTACAGACATTGGCAAGGGTCCCATTTCAACATCCCTCACTGCTTGGAAAGGCTAAGTCTTCTCACTATCACCCCCAGCCACCACCCCGCCCCCCACCACCACATACAAAATTCCATTGGAAGAAAGTCGTGTGCCCTTAAAATAAGAAATGAGGTTATAGAGCTGAAGAAATAGCCATGTTTACTGCACTGATCAAACTGCCATTGGTTCCACAGGTGCAGAAAGAATCTTGGGCCGTCAGCTGTACTAAGAATGCAAAAACCAAGGATCCAAGCTGCAGAGAGCCCACAGGTGACAGGCAGGCCAGCAACTGACATGGAAAAGAAAGAGGAAAGGGATGCATGATCCCTGAAGGCTTGCTGCCCAAGTTAGGCTGAAGAACAGAGTTCATAAAGGGTCATCCCCAGGTCACACCCATCGCTGGACTAGGCGCATGTGGCCTGCAGAGTACATTTATTTTCATTTGAATCAGTTGTCAATATTGGTAAGTTGGGAGCTTTACATGAATACATGAATTTCTAGCTTCTCCTGGAAAATCAGAACACCCAGAATACTGGCCCCACGTTCTCACAGGACAACCACGGCTGGTGCTAAATAGGGCTGCCCCTCTAAGCTGGGAGTGCCACTCAGTTTAGAGCCATGAGAGGACAAAGAAGCAAGACCCCATCCGTCCCCTCACCCCCGGCATTGGGCTCAGCTCCAGGAGAGTCACCACCAACTGTTTCAGGTTGGAGTCCAAGCATCCTTCCTGCAGGTTGTGAGCATCCCAGCATGTATTTGTCTTTAAGAAGTCACATAAACATGATGGTTTGTGTCTCAGGAAATCTCCCACAACCCCAGCAGAAGTGGTTCTGTGTTGCTTCACCCAGTCAGTCATAGCTTCCCAGGCAGGATCCCCAGAAGGCAGCAGGAATTCACACACTTCTGGTGGGGCAGGGGGGAGGCACTGTGGCCACCATAACAGCTACCCATCCAGCCACCCCTCCCTCCCTAGCTGTTTGAAGTAGTGGAGCAGTGAGACATCGCCTCCCAGGGAAGCAGCGGCTGGGAGAGGGAGCTACAGACCTCTTACACACATTTGCAAGACAGTTACTTGGAAGCGGCATCTGTTAGAATGCAGTGGGATCTTTATATGGAAAATAAAACTGTGTACTGGGACGGCTCAGGCTTTGTGGGGGTGTGGGCAGGGGGAAAGCAGTCACACCACAGACACAAGACTGCCACCCCCCACCTGCCACCCTTAGTTTATTTGCATTGCACGGTCTGTTGCTAAAGACACCGAAGAGCTCTCATTGAAGAATGTGGTGAGGAGCCAGAGAGTGCTCCCAGGAGGAGCCCCAGAAAGAAGCACAGGAAAAGGCTATAGATCACAGACAGGCAGCAAAGCATCCAGGCTGCGAGGCTGGGGAAGGGAGTGGGAAGGCAGTGGGGACGACTGCTTCTCCTTGCCTCTCTCCTCACAGTTCCTCAGTTCTCGGTTCTGTGCTGGCAGAGTCCTACCCGGGAGTGGAGGAAAGAAACAGCCCTCCTCTTCCCATCAGGGGACCTGGGCTCCACCCCCACGTCGAGCTCAGAGTCACAGTTCCTGTCACTCCTGTGCACTGTGTATAGATACCGGGCCTTAGTTTCTGTACTCGTCACAAGAGAGTTAAGCCTTGAGGCTGTCGGAGATCACAGATGTGGAAGCCCCTTAGAGGCACAGCCAGTGAGGACACTGGGTCACCATGTGGGCTGGGATACCACAGAGAGCCCTGCGGCTAGCCACCGCCCCGCAGCTAGAAGCCTGACCCCCCCACAGCACCACTCGGGACACAGCGCAGCAGCTGAGCTGTGATTTCCCTGGACAAGTACCCCCCTCACAACCTTCACATCTGTAATCACTGTGCTCGGGCTGCTTCAGATGCTTCTTTCAAATAACGTACTCTTTTATTTAAATAAACCTATTTTATAAGGGAATATTAGTTCTTTACCATAATTGGGGAGAGGTAGTTTGTAAAGTTCACTATCACTGGTTTAATGTGCTAGTTTTATTTTTCTAAAAGACATTCAAAAAACAGTTTTCCTCCTTGTAGAACAGAAGATAGAAGCTAGGGGCCAGCAAATGATTTGTGCTTGTCCCGTAAAACCATTTTCTCACTGACATTAGTTGCCACTGTTTAAAGGCATAGAGATTCATATACACAAACACACACATACATACGCAAACACGTGCTAGTTTCTGGATTCTCTTTAAGAACGGAAAAAATCGGGCTACCACTGGGCCCACATGCCCAGCGGCTTTCAGTTGGAGCCGAGAGACAACTGCCCCTTCAGTACAGCTTGGGTTCCTAGTTTGCACAGACCCAGCCTTCCCTGGCTGCCTTCTGCCTGAGCTACTTCCCCCGGGCACCACCTGCCTGGCTCCACGTTGGCACTGGCGTTTATGACCTCCATGGGCCACCTGAGTTATCTTTGAAACCACCTGTGTAACCTAGATTGAAAAGTCTCTGGATCCCCAGAGCCTGACCACCAGGTTTATGGAAGCTGCTCTGCTCCTTCACCGCTCTGAGCAGCTAACACCTCACTCCACATTAAGGTTTTTGGAGACACAGGTAAGGGGGAAAAGTCACGTTGCCTGGTGTCATGGAAAACTTCCAAAGAGCTGGAAGTAGGGGACTCCAAAAGCATACAGACCCCCTCATAATCCAGAAAGAACTGGAGCTATTCCCCCACAAGCCCCCTAAAAACCTACTCCAGTATCCTTGTCTGGAGAATCCCAAGGACAGAGGATCCTGGCGGGCCACAGTCCATTCATAGCGTCCCAAAAAGTCAGACAATGACTGAAGCGACTCAGTACGGCACCGCAAACCCAACACAATAATCGCTACCTCTCCAGCGATTTTGTGCCTATTGTCAGGCTGTCCAGACCCCTCAGTGAAAGCTAGAACCCCTTCCTGGACAAGGAGCCCCTCTAGAACAGAAACCAAGAGATAGATCGTATGTCTGATTCCCCTGGTTCTTTATAGCACCTTGTGGGATGTCAGAGCCAACGTAAAGGTTTGCTGAGAGAAAAAAATCAGGCTAACGGTTTATGAGACAGCAGGATTCTAAATACCAGCATGGACACTCACACGGCGATTCTGTGCGTTTGAATCATCCTGGAAGCAACAAGTGTCAGGACCAGAGGGGATTAGAAATAGTCTGGTTTGACCACCTCGTTTTGCTGCAGGGTCCCCTGTGCCCAGGCAGGCTCTGCACAAGAGCAGGGAGAGATGGGAACTGCTCAGGGTTTCAGTCTGCTGGCTTCACTTTCCTTTGTGGGGTTCAGAGAACCATCATTTCTGTCATCTCACAACTACATCCTTGACTCTACGGGTTTCAATGGAGCTGAGACTACACCTCCTACAACAGAAAACATTCTTTCAGGAATTCAGTTCTGAAAGCTCTGTTGGATGTATTCTGGAGCAGACTGGATAAAAGAAAGCCCCCCCAAGAAAATCCTCTGCCTGGTACTTAAGGTGTCTCTCTGGTTCTTTCTGTCCAAGGGTGAGATTCAGGGCAACTGAGGAGAAGGCAACCCCTAACTGCACAGTGTCTTAGCATTCTGGATATCACTCTAGGAAATCACAGACCCATATCAGTACCACCAGATCCCGGGCTCTCAGAGACAGGAAGAGCCTTGCCAAGGTCACACTATGAGTTTGTGGCAGGCCTGGCAAATCTGAAAGGAGCTGAAATCTCCCAACTGCAAGTCCAGGCTCTGTTCCCCACACTCAGTACCTCAACCTCTGCCCAAACTGGAGGCAAAGATTTTCCTCCTGGGAAGCTCTGAGGTGGGCCAGTGCTAACCTTGGGGACTGACTTGCAAGGTAAGCGACGTTTGTGAAGACCTAACAGGACAATTCATTGTTGAGTGCTCCACATGCAGAGGCAGGTAGTGGAGGGAGTAATGGAAATGACTCGGGAGTCAGAAAAATTTGCAGCAGCCGGGTGCTGGCATAGCCTCCTCTCCCTGGGCTTAGGACTTCTGCTTACTTTGGAGAGAAGAGTGATAGAGAGACCATCCAGTCCTGTGCTCATCCCTCCTGACTGATAATCCCTATGGGGTCTTGGTGAAAGGAGAGACCAGATCTCCAGGAAAGGCACGTGCATAGCCACCAGCATTCCCACCCCACCCAGACCCTCAGCTTCCCAAAGGCACCAGCCACTCACCTGTTGATGGAACTGACACTGGGCACCGTGTCATTGTCACACACCCGTTCCGCCAGCAGCCGGTCCCTGATCTCCCAGGCAAACATGGTGGGATTTTGGCGTTTATACTCAGCGATTTTTTCCACCACTTTGGGTGTGGCGACCTTTGGTTTGGATCCTCCAATTACCCCAGGCTTGATGCTCCCTGTCTCATAATACCTACGACCCAAGGAGAAAGGAGCTTAGCCATGAGAAACTAGAAAAATGGACATTGGTAACAAAATAATGGACTACTCTGTCCAGGAAATACCCAGATCTGTGCTGGCTGGTATGTAGCCACTAGCCATGTATGTGGCTTTTGAACGTTTGGAAGGTAATCTGTTTGAATTGACGTATGCTCTAAGCATCAAATACATATCAGGTTTTCAAAAATTAGTATAAAAGTAAAGTCAAAATCTCAGTAATGCGTTTTCCATTGGTTATATATATGTTGAAATGATCATCTTTTTAATATATTGGATTAAATAAAGTATACAATTAAAAGTAATTGTACCTGTTACTTTTTCCTTTTCTGATGTACTACTAGAAAATTTTAAACCTCCTACATGGCTTACATTACATTTCCATTGGATAGCGCTAGTCAGAATGCTCAGCCTTAATTAATTAATTGTCACATTTATCTACCATTTGATAGTTCACAGAAAGCGTTCCAGTTGGTTTTCCCATTTGATCCCCACAACACTTCTAAAACACATAATTTTGAATTTCTAGAGTACAACATTCAGTTTTGAATGACTGAATGCGTGAATGATTACACAAACAGGTCTCCATCTACAGACGTAAAACAGACCCATAGAGGTTACACGGCTTGCCCAGGGTCACTCACGACCCAGGGCCAAACCGGGACTGTGGCCCAGCCTTCTGAGCTAAAATCTCCCCAGAAAGTGGCCTGTGCCTTTCAGTCGTCAGCTCTCCCATCCCCTAGCAGACTCACCTGCTTTCTGTGACACTGTCCCCTAAAATGCAACATCTTTTTCCATAAGAGAAAAACAATAACCCTAGCATAAAATTTTAAAAAATGTCGGATTCCAGAATTAACTGGCAATATGAGTTACACATAAGTCAAAACGCAAGCAATCAAAAAAAAAAAACCCAAACAAGTAGAAGTCAGTGCAGCTCTTCCAGGGACCTCCTCTGCGGTAAATCAGTGTTTCTAAGGACATTTCCATGCTATCAGCTCTTCCTCTTAACGCAAATAGGATGTCAGGGTTTTACAGTAAAACCGAAGCCAGGGAGAAGAATGCCATGAAAGATCATTTCAGGGGGAAAAAATCACTTGACTCCTTTTCTGAATCTGAGCCTTCACTGGATGTCTCTCTCAACATTTACAGAGGAATTTTTTACTTCCTCTTGAAAAGGAGATTATCTTGTAGTTGGAAAAAAAAATTTTTAATAAAAAAGACATTTTAGAAATGACTGGAAAAATTTAAACCTAACAAGAGTTTACAACAGGTAAGCAAAGGTGGGTCTATGATGGGTAGGAAAGATAACTTAGGACAATGACTGGTTACATTGAAAGAGATGCTGAAATTCTCAGCTTGGGTAAGTCTGGTTAGGGCCTTGAATATTCTAGAAATAGAAGAAACAACTTGGGAACAGTGATATGGATGCACAAATTCTATTTTTCATTGAGAAGACTGTCATGTACAAATTTGTGGACCATAAAGCAAAACTCAATCTATGCTCCCTCTTTCTATAATTGCTAAAAGTCTGCTATTAATCACAAACAGGTTTTAATAAATATCCAAGAAAAAACTTTTTTGCCAGAAGTCTAAAAAGTATCTAAATCAAAGCACACAGCAATCTTGGCAGATTCGGCAGATCCTTTCGATTTTACAACAGAAAATTATCTGTTACTACAATACAGCATCTCATTATTTAGGCACAGTGCCTTAAAGTTTACAGAGTCTTTCTCGAATTATCTTGATTCTCACACCAGTCCTGAGAGGCCAGCAAGATTTTATGTAATCAAAGGGAAAACTGATGATGAGAAGATTAAATCCTTGCCCAACCCCCTTTTGGAACTTAGAAACAGTCCCAGGCTTTCAAACCTGACTCTGAATCCAGTGTTCTTCCCACTAGAACAAGCTGCTGCTTTAGTTATAAAAATTAAAATGACACTAGTACTAATAATAGAGATCCCCTGAAATTACAGACAGCTCTACTGTTTACCAGGCATTTTCGTGTGCATTTTGTCACTTATTCATTCAATCAATAGTCACAGAGGGTCTGTTAGGACAGGCACTGTCTTGGGATGGGAGTTCGGGCACACAGAACACCCTGTGCTCAAAATATGTTAGCCCAATGGGACTGCAATATTCATGCAGAAACTCTGAGAGGTGGCAGGATGAAGCCCTCACCACCCCCAGTACTTGCCCCGCTTGCATGGCTGGAGGTGGCAGTGCCCAGGACTCTATCCATCCCATCTGAGCACTGCCAACCATACAAGTCTATGGGGCCAACACGGGAGGTCTCTGTTTCCCTTTTGTCTGACACATAGTCCAGGCACTTAGAAGACAGCCCTGACACTCCAGAAAACCCCAACTGGCAACTGTGTCAAGTGAGGATTCTGACTACCCTTTCATCTCAATAGCCGCCCTTTCATCTCAGCAAAACAGCCATGCAGGCCTTACACAGGACAAGATGAACAACAGCCACTGACCCACAGTGCGGTTTGGTGCAAGGAGCATTAGTGTGAGAGTAAAGAGGTGCAGATGCCAGTCAGGGGCTCTGACACTAATTCGCTGTGTGACCCCGATCAACTCACTCAGCCTCTCTGGACCTCAGTTATCCCATTTGTATAATAAGGGGAGGATGTTTGCCTGGCCTGCCTTGCAGTGCTGTCATGAAGACAGAAATGCAGAGTGGTTAAGAAAAAGCTTTGCAAAACAGAAAGAGCACGTGTTGTGGATTAAAATCCTCTGAGTATTTATTACTATGTAACATACCACCCAATTCCAAATGGCATGAACCTCCCAGCCAGGCCTCAGTGAAAGAAGACAACAGCCCAGCTTTCTGGATGGATTTAAATGGGTCTCACATGCCCCTGGGCTCTGCCTCTCCAGCCCCTCCAGAGCCCTGAGCTCTGTGGACTGAATGCCACACTCCTGGCAGACCGCCACCTTCCTGAGATGACTCGGACTGCCCCAGGGACCCTGCCTGCCTTGCCACGCAGCCTCTGAAAACCACGGCCACCACACACCACACGCTCTCCACAATCTGTCACCCCATGTGTGCCCATCAAATTCTTCAGTGACCGAAAAAAAAAAAAATCAGTGGATGGAACAAGCCCAGTTCAGAAATTCCCAGTCACACTGTTTTAGGGCTGAACTTGTTTCTTAAAAGGCAGTTCTAATTAGAGTGACATTTTGTCCACTGTGGTTCTTAGTTATGAAAATAATGAGCTATGAAATTCCAATTTATTGTTGACAACTTAAACGGCCAGGCACCGGAGCGGCGCATAACTTCCGAGTGCCACTCTACCTAGTGACAAATCTATTCCGGGGCGCGGGAGGCTGCCGGCTGGGCCTGGGAGGGCCCCTGTGTCCTTCAGCCCCCCAAGGAAGATGTGGGGGGCTCCTGGGCGCCAGAACACGAGGACCCGGCATCTGGATGTCCCCTCTGAGAAGGGCTCAGCATCTTGCTCTGAGAAGATTCCAAATAGCAAGCAAAATGTCGGCTCAGCAAAGACATCTCAGCAAAAACAAAGGAAGGGCCTCCTTTCTCTCTCTCTCTCCACCTCTGTACAATGAGAAGGCTTCCCAGGAAGACATCTAAGATCCCTCAGCCCCCCAAGTCTGACGCTGAAATGATCTGAGATATTGTTCTCCTTTCTCTTTCTATCTTGTCTTTATTTCTCTTTCTCTTTTTGAATCAATCCATTTCCTTTCTGTTTCCTTTCTTTTTCTTTTTTCTATCTCCCTCTCCTCTAGTTTTTTCTTTTTTCTTTCAATTTTCATTCTCATCCTGTTACCTAAAATCACTCTCTAACAAGAATACCATGCTGATGTCCTCCCACCTCCTTGAACTCAGGCTGAGGCTTGTTTGCCGCTGAGGGCTAAACAAGAGAGAAGCGCACAGCCTCCATGGCTGGGGTGAACTGGTACGGGTGGGAGCATGAGGAGTAAACAGGGGGATATGGTCTCTAAAGGTGCTGCCAGACCCCTGGCCCTGAAACTTCTCTTGGCCTCCAGCAAGTCTTCTCAAGTTTAAAAACTATTATTCCCTCCATCTGAGAGAATGTCTTAAATTCTAGCAGGTGGGAAAGAGTAAGCAGAAAGTCACAATGGCACTGACATACTTCAAAATATTTATTTTCCACTCAGCCATCTGTTCTCAGACCATAACACAAAGCTACAGGCCAAAGGCTGTTTTCTGCCCTGCAAGAGAAATCCTGAGAGAGTACTGACAGCTAAACCCAAGAATGTTCCTGGCTGCCAGCGCAGACCTATAACAACTTCACTTGCCTGGAAACATACTTGCAGCTTTGGTTTTGGGGTGCAGCGAGGTGCTGACGGTCTCGGAGTTCTTAAGGCCTCTTCCCAGCCTGAGTGCTGATTGGCTGGAAGCATCTGAGTCACTCATTTTGCCCTCTACATTTGTCTCCTCATCTCAAAACAAGCTTTCTTGGACCATCTCACCCAAGAAAATAAACATGCGCATCAAGAGACAACAGAGTCCTTTGGGAGAATTGACATTGTTGGTATTTTTCTTGCAGCAAATTGCAGGGTCAAGTGGCAACTTTCAACTGTCTAATTTGAGAGTTGGTGTTTGTTCATTTGTTTGCTTCCTTTCTAATTTCACATATATTTAGGATGCCTGTCACTATGAAGGAAACAAAACATATAGAAGTAAAACACTGCCACCCAAAATAATAAGCTAGATGATAACCCAGAACTGAAAATGACAGCTGACTTTTAAAAATGGAATGTGCTTTTTGAAAACATTAAAATGAAACATTGAAGTCTGGTTATGTGATTTTATAACTTGTGGATTTTCCACCCAGCACTGCTCAGGCACCAAATATAGAAGGGGACTTCCCAAGAACCTCTTATTCCTGGGTTCTTAGGAATAATTCACCAGGCTTTCAGAAAACATGCTACCCCTTCGAACTGAGACATCCCACTCTGCCACAAGGGTTTCCTGGGGTTACTTCGAGTTGAATGGCCTCAAAAGGGCTTTGCAAAGTCCAAAGTACTGTGCGTGTGGAAGCGCCACCACGATCCTCACTAAGACACTACCACACGGACAGCTGCTGGGCCATGTTTTAGGTTATTATTTGAAAAATCAAGGGAAGCCTGAAGCTCCTGCCTTTACCTGCCAAGAATTTTGCTGACACAACCATGGCTGACTCGAAGCTGCCTGGAGATGTCGCAGGGCCTGACGCCTTGATGAGCAAGTTCCACTATCCTTTGGCGGACTACATCCGGGAGTGGCCGTCCATTCACAAAAACCCCCCCAAGCTGATTCACTCCTCCATGTCCTGAAACAGATCAGAAATAAAAGGCAAGGGAAAGGGTGGTTAGAACCAGTCACGCAGGAGAAGAAGTGCCGCTTTGAGGACCCACAGTCCCTCTGATCAGAAATGGCAGCGGGCTGGCTATCTTGAGCCTGCGGTCTGATCGCACAGGCGACATGAACACCTCAGATTGCTTTTTGAAATTCACCTTAGCCTTTGTCCTTCTTCAGCCAGTCAGTTGGGCTATTGATGGTAAGCATCTTCATACTATGTTTCGGTTAGTTGCTAGCATTTTCTTTGTAATTTTTTTAAACAATGGAATATATGAAGACCTCAATCTGTACTTGGGACAGAACTTATTATATACATGATGCTGAGGTCTAAGATAGATCCTAGGGAGAAAATACATTTTAAAATACATAAAATGTAAAGAGATTTTTAAAAATGAAACTCTTTCCCTTTTAACAGATATCTCTAAAAGTGAAAAGGATTACTTTAATAAACCTAGATCTTGGGGACAGGGGAATGTTTTTTAAATCAGCAATCTGATTCAAGAGCTAAGGATTTAAAAAAAATTTTTTTTAATAGTATCTGCAGATAGTCAAGACAGAACTAAACCACTGCCTTGATAAAAATCCTTTCTTTAAGAAGGTGAGGCTCATACCTCAATGAAGATGGCAAAAAAACAAAAAAAGTGAGGCTGACATGCAGACTTGACCACTGTACCCTCTCAGAGCACACAAAAGAAATAGGTCAAAGGATCACATTTCACTCTACTGTATCAGAATTTGTTATAAAGGAGTTTCCCTGGAATTTTTGGAGTGTTTTACAATTGACAAGCAGCTTTATGTTGCTTCAGGGAAAATAAAGAAGCTGAAGGAGGCTTCTGAGTCCCAGGTTGTACAAGGGTTCTGGGATGGACTTTAAGTAAAAAGAGTTTGGGAAAGTATCTCCTCCTCCCAATAAGCTCCATTCTCGTAAAAACATCAAGGTCCATCTGGATGGAAGCAGAGATCCAAGTAAATGAAGAGCCAAACCAGTAAACACAGAGTGATCCAGCGTAGCAACATCATCGACCTTGTAGCTGTTAATCAGACACTGACTGACATCATTGAGGACTGTCAAAAGCCAGAAGCCAAGTCCAAGAATTTCCAATGCTGCTGACAGCTCAGAGACCAAGGAAGAGGAAATCTTCTCTTAACCTGGGACTTTGCAGGGACTGGGCTGTACCAGGGAAGCCAGGGCATCTCAGAGGTCTCACACACACACACACACACACACACACACACAAATATACTCCAACTCGAAAACATAAAATAGCCACCTCATCTCAGCTATTTCCCAGCACTGAACTACTATCCAGGTTCATGAACAATATCTGAAATAGAGGAGAAAACTACCCATAACATAACCTATTTCTTAAAAACTGCCAAAGCTACTCACTGAATTTTCCCATGAGAGTCCAAATTGAATATTTCCCCAAATTTTCAAACTCAGGCTGATTTCATTGGGGGAAAATTTTTTTTTTATAGATAATAACAGTACTCAACTCGAATTCTAAGCTGAATTTCTCTATGATTTTCAAAATGAGCTTTAATCATTTAGATTGTTCTAAAACCCTCCAGATATAAGAAAAAGGAAAACCACCCTGAACAGAATTTTACAGTTAGAAACACAACTGCATAGTTCACCTAAAACAGAAAGACTACAGCCACTCTTGGTCAAGGGTCTTAAGAAAGCTTTGTTCTGGAGTTGGGAGCACCTAATCAAAAAGGGTTGTATGGATCTTTCAATAACAGGCTGGATTTAAGAAGCAAGTAAATTAAAAACTGAGAGGACAAAAAGAAAGCTAAAAGCACCTAGCACACTGGTGAGACAATCTATTAGTCCAGGCACTGGGGCCATCTGCCATGGCCTGTTCCTTATACTACTGGCAATTTACATTTTCTGCTCAAAACACGGTAGAAATCTTTGGAGGATTTAAATTCCAAAAACAGTCCTGCAGGACATTTGTGATCTTTGGAGACCATTTGTATTATGGGGGAAAACCCAAGGGTGAGGCAATCGAGGTGACAGCAAGTCCCCACACCCTCTAGTCTTGACCACAAAGGCCGGGCTTCAATGCTCTTGCAGAGTCTGACCCTCGTATCCACAGCTGACACCAGACCCAGGATGACCTGGGGACCCCTTACACCCCCAACTTCCTGGAAAGGCTCCCAAAAACTCGTGGCCTTCTCTGCCTCTGAGAGAATATGTCAAGGGGGGGGTGGGTTGGTAAATTAAAAGTGTCATCTGAGAAGGCAATGTCTCTCACTTACCCCAAGATTGGAAAGAAGCAAAACCAGAAACCCGAAAGAAGGGAGGCAAGAGGATGGAGAAAGAAGCCAGAAAAAGTGTACAAAGAGCAGAGACTCAATGAGAAGAGACAGCAGGGAGGGTATGGAGAAGGGAAGCTCAGGTTAGAAATGAGGAGAGGGAGAAAAAGGGGTGGATTGGCCAGAATGGGGCAAAGAGAGGCAGGGGAAAAGGTGAATGTAGTGTATACAGCGGGAGGCAAGATGAGAGAAGAGAAAAACGGAGGAAGCCCAACAAGGGGGTGTTTGGAAGAAAAGGGGACATCTGCGGAGGGGGGAACCTTTGTTTTCTTGGACCCCAGCTCCTGCCCTGCACTTCCTCAGAGAAGCCAAGTCCCAGCCTCTACTTCTACAGACTGGAGTACAGTGACGGTTCACCACGTGGGAGGTGCTGGGGGGAGACACGGACTCAGCTACACTTTTCAGGACCAAGTCGAATTTTCAGAGAGACGCGGACTGACACAGAGACAGATGCAATAAATCAAGGCAAAGACCAGGAAACTGACACTCAGATACAAGAGAAACACAGCCCCGCCCCCACAGGGCTCACAGAGCCGCGTTTGGAGGAGGGGAGGGCAGGGGGAAGGGATGAACACCCGATGCCCTTGGGACTTCTGTGGCTCTGGTCTGGAAGGGGCTGGCCTCCACAGAAGCTCCTCAGGCCCTGATAAGAACATGCTACCCACCAGGGTCGCCCCTGTCCACACCCCCAGTGACCAGGTCTGGGCATAGGGTCTTGGGGAAAGGGTCTGTGCTGACTCAACGGTAGATTGAACTCCAGGATCCACAGGGTCATTGAAATTCCTCCTATTAATATCAGAGAGGATAATCAAGGGGACACACAAACATGCAAACAGAAACACAGGAAAGGGCAGGAATGAAACCTTACTGGACTCTCGAACCGATAGGGGCTGGCACACAGGCACAGTAGTGCCACGGATACAGACATAGTTAAATTAGAGAGACAGTGCCTTGCACTTATGTGTAGCCATCCAGGTGGCTGCTGCCTACTCTCTGGAATCTGAATCCCTCTCTCTCCCCTTTCCTGAATCTCAAAACACTGCCTCCAGCACTGTCCCTGGGAATTTCCTGTCAGTCCTTTTGTCTCTCTGACCTCAGTACCATTCTCTGTAAAATGGATGTAGCTGAAAGTTTAGAAGACAGTTGGTTAGGAGACTGGCTATAAAAGTGCTTTGTAACTGGTAACCATAGCTGGGGGTGGGGACAAGAAGACTCAGAAGCCCACACCCTGGCAGTGCCTGCCCCTCCCCCTATACCAGCTATCCAAGGCAGCCACCCAGCTTCAGTGGGCGAGAGGGGAAAGGAGTTGGGGTGGTAAGAAACTGGTCAGGGCCAGGAAGAAAGATAAGAAGGTGGGACCCGGTCTGAGCCCCTACTTACCAGGCAACCTCTCAGGATCTACTATGCACTCCTCCACTCAAGCTCAAAAGACTGGGGCTCCAAAGTGGAGCCTATATTACAGAAACAAATAGCTTTGGATATCAAGACCAAGGGCACTTCCAGAGAAGACAGCTCTGGAAGCTAGGCGGGCTGGGGCCCAACCCCCACCGTGCTGCAGGGAAAATTGAAAATGGGAGGAGGGAGCACTTCCAAAGGATGGGGCAGATGAGAGGCCGGAGGAGGAGGTATAGAGAGGGGCATTAGCGGTTGGCTAACCCACACCTAGAAGAAGCTACCTTCTTCACCCTCATGCACGGCCTTGAGACCACCAGGTCTTGATGCTATCTGCCCGAGCGCCTGGGCACAACCTCTGGGCAGCCAGGCTCTGTGCAGAAAGGGAGAGTGGATTCCCACGGGCAAGGATAGAAGCGCAAGAGCAGCCCTCCCCATTTTGTCCTCAAATTGCTCCTTGACCGAGCTAAGGGCTTGGTCACCTCTCAGAGTATTGACAGAAACTCCTTTGCTTTTCTGGCTTAGTCTGCGAGATCAGAGCTTCCCCAGAGCCCGGCTAAGTCTGTACAGGAGACGGCTGCTGGGGGCGCTGGGGTCACCACGGACTGAAAACTGTTTTGGCATAGGCCCCAAACGGTGAGGAGTCATTTAGGCTGGGATCCGAGCTAGCGGCTTCTCTTCGAAAATCTCCCCACGGCTTTGGTGGATGACCTCGGACTCGGGAAATTGAACACAAAGAGAAACTGACTTGCCCGCAGCCAGTCCCCACAGCCTAGATCAGCATTTCCCTGCCTACCAGGCCATTCGGCCTCCGGGGCAGGAACGGACACCTTCATCCCAGAAAGCTCGCCTTCTCTCCAGCCGGGTCTCGGCTGCCTTTGTTAAATAGAGGACCTAAGGCTAGGTAAGCAGAATCCTGCGCTTTCTGAAGGCTCCCGGCGCGGAAGCAGCTCCCTAACATGCGGCCCGTGGGGGCCGGAGCTGGGCACCCGGCTGGATGCTGCCAAAGCCTGGCGCCTTGCTCCCAGCTCCGCAGCAGCTCTGAAGGAAAATACTATTCGTTCCACTTGGAATTTCCTCGAAATCTCCGAATCTAATCCGGCGTTAACTCACCCGTGAGAGGAGCGCTCATCTCACAGGAGGCTGTGCTAATGGGTGAACTGCAGATCCCGACGGGTCAGGCAGCCGCCTGGCCTCGCCTGCGCCCAAAATGACCCTTCCCCGTCTCCTACACACGCGGTGTCTTTCAGAAGACAA